TAAAATGACATGGGGTTTTGGTACTCGAGTACGTCCATTTTATAGGCTTTATTCCATCGGGGATCTCTCTGGGTTTGTTGATCCAGAAGTCCGAAGCGCCGCCCAGGGGGAAAAGGAACATCTTGTTATTGTTTTCCATCTTGACCGCAAACAGCATGGGATGCAAGTTGCACTAGCCAGGCGACGCATGAACGTTGCAGAAAACCACTCTCAGGACTTGAAGGTGATGCGCTGCATTTAAGATTCTGACACAGATTCCTCCATGCCTTTCTAATGGGCCACCGCAACCACGTCGTTTGCGCGCACAGACCTGTACGTCACGAATAAACGGAACTGATTTACTTCTGCTGAAGGTCCTTGTATTTACAAGATCAGCTCTACGAACCCTGTAGTTAGCTACCTTTTCTCTACGCTTGAGTAGGTATACGCTACGGCGCTCTGGGGTGACAAGAATTTCAACACCCCCCTTTACAAGGAACTCGGTCAGGACTAGTTAAATTCCGGTAGCGGCATTCTTAGTTCACCTAGATCTGTTCCTGAAGCGTGCACGCCTGAGACGCCAGCCCTTCTTCGTCTCGTGAGTCCTTCTTGTCTGGGGCATCCCTATATTATGGGAACCAAAGGAGGGTCGTTGGCGAAGCCAGTTCATCCATTGGTTGTTTCAATTCTAAGTTGTCCTTCCTCAGTTCTTGAATTGTTTCCGCCTGGGAGTCCAGGCTTTGCTTCTTGACTGTTGCAAGTTTCTTTGTCAATAATTCAATAATGCAACCTTTGCTTTTGCAATGTCGAGGGAGGCTTCCAACTCGTCACGTTTGAAGTTCAAGTCAATGACCGCTGCGGTTGCTTGAGCTGTATTTGCTGCATTTACTGCTGCCTGATACCTTGCTTCACTGTGTTCCATGACTTGTTGGTGTTCTGAACGAAGTCGTTCAATGTAATGCTGAGCTTGCCTAAGCCTGCTCTGAAAGTGTTCGCGTTGCTCTTCCAATGTTTCTTTGTCTTGCTTGCTCACCAAGTTGCATCGCACGTTGTTGTAATTCTTGCCTCAACTCTGCTTGACCTGGACCTGTGTTGACGTTGACAACATTGAGTCTTGCCATTGATAACGTGTGGTTTAACTGTTGGCGTACCAGTTACGGTAGCGGGCGGCATACCTGCAAGGGTAGCTTGCGCGGCTTCCTGAAGAGGACGCTGCTAACCATCTGTAGGTAAGCTTCCGACGTTGCTTGAGGCTAATGCCAGTTGGATTTCTCTTGATGACGAACCACCGCATCGGACACTAGCAACAGATTCAGCAGATTCCACAGTCCTGAACATTCAACAGATTCAAGATGATTCAAGCGATCTGGCTACCTTGCTACCAGCATGGCAATAGGACAATAGGATCTACCGCGGAATCCGTGTCTTGATCATGGCTGATATGCCTCACGCTCCTCCCAGTAAAGCATATCCGCCGACCCCTGCCTAGCTGACGCCTATAGGGGCGCCCCTGGGACACCGCAGTTTGGAAGCAACCAGGCTAGACTCGCTCACGCTGAGGAAGCTTCTTGCAGCTACTCGGTGACTTTCAGTGTGGCGACACCGAGGTTTTGCCGTACTCTGCCTTTCGCAGACAGCTGCGGCTGTTTTGGTGTGGTGGCGCCGAGGTTTTGGCGTGGTCCATGGGCAGCTGGCCGTTATCTGGGGCTTGTCCTGGTCCCTGCGCTCGTCCTGGACACCTCTTTATAGGGTTTCGGAGGCAACGCAAGGCGCTGGCAACGCTGAGCCGAGGTTTTTGGGCAGCTGGCCGCCGTAGGCCCTATGAGGTTTCAACGGAGCAGGGAGCGACCGCTGCCAGTGCCTGACGTTGCCTTCGACCACGGACCAGGGCAAGATACCACACCAAAACCTCGGCTCCGCCACGCCGAAAAACCCGTTGCCAGCGCCTGAGACGTCACCTCCGAAACCCTTTATAGATAGAGGTGTCCAGAGCCCCAGAAACCAGGACAAGGGTCAGGTGGCCGCAAAAAGAGGTTTTGGCGGGCTGCTTTTTTGGAGGAGGTGGGCTTGTCCTGGTCCCTGGGGCTAGGGTTTCGAAGGCAACGTCAGGCACTGGCAAGATAGGGTTTGGAGGGGCAATGTCAGCGACCGTCGCCAGTGCTCCCTTGAAACCTCCATGGCCAGGGTGTCTCGGTGTGGCGACACCGGTGTGGGACACTCTTGTGGGACACCGTTGTGGGACACTCTTCTCGAAAGCTCTTGTGGGACACTATTGCGTGCAACTCTTGTATACACTCCTCTACGACGCTCTTGTGGGGCTTGTGGGCCACTTTTGTGGGACACCGTTGTCGGACCCTCTTGTGCAAAACTCTTGTCAAACACTCTTCTGGGACACTCTTGTCCGACACTCTTGTCCGACACTCTTGTGGCCACCTCTTGTGGAAGACGGCAGTCTTGTGGGACACTCACGTCTGACACTCGGGTGGGGCACTCTCGTGGGACATTCCGGGCCACCTCCACGCGCGATACCCGATGCGACCCCTTTCCAGCAATGCTGCGGACAACAGTTTTGGTAGAACCAAAAGACAGCCCGCAGACCAGCGACTGCGACTGAGTGTGAGAAGCGGTGGTGACAGCGGACTGCACCACCGCAAACCTTGCCTGGTCAGCTCTGAGCTGCCAAAGCAAGGCCCTCGCAAACAGCCACCGACCCGCGTGCCGTCTTCGGGGACCCACCTAGACCACTGCCCTCCACAAATCCCTGCACGTCACGGGAAAACGGACATCAGCCCTTAAACCTGGCGACGCCGCGCCAGTGACCATATAAGCCTAGCTTGCTATATGATGCTATATGGAGACGCGCTCCATGCCGCCGACCCACGTTTCGAGCATCACCAGGGCTCATGTGGCTTCGTCAAAAAACGTCCAACACAAAGGAAAATGATCAAAAAAGGCTACTGTAAAGCTTATAATGTATGTAGTTGATGAACAATCCTGCTCGTACTCTGGTGATGCCAACGGTGCTCGACACAACTGCTACGCGTCATCGCGCCCGTCGTGCGTGCGTGCGCGCGCTCTTGTGTGCGTGCGTGTTTTTGAGTGTGTGTGCATTCGTGTGCGTGTGCGGGTGTGCATGCGCGGACGTGTGTCTGAAGCTGAGGAAAGAGCATGCGAAGCCTGTCAGTCAAAACGATGCTGCGCAAAGGGCAACCTATGTTAGACAATGTTAGAAATAAGATTAAATAAGCAGAATTTGGAGAGTGCAACATATGCACCCACTTCACTTGCACAGGTTCTTCCCCAACACCTCCCACCCATCCACTTTCCAAGACAAAGATTGGACTACACATAAATTTCAGCTCAAAGCAACAAAACAGTCCTTCCGATCGTCATCGCTCACTTCCTTTGCTCTTGGAGTTGCCGCTTGACTGTGTGCTGGGGTTGGTGCAGCCGATGTGAACTCCAAACGCAACGGACGATCCTTGAGAAAGCTCTTAAAGTCCTCTGCACTCAATCCTTCCAAGCTGACCAAATCAGTCTTGCCAACACGAAGAAGCACATCCCCTTCATGAACTCCTTGTTGTGAACCGAATTCTCCACTTGCAACAGACTTGACACGAAGTTGGCCTGGTGGCAGTCCATTAAAGGATATTCCCATCTTGCTTACTGTGGCATCTGCCACAATCTCATAAAGGCCCTCTTGCTGCTTGCTCTCCTGTCCTTCTGCCGCTGCTGCTTTATGTTCTCCTTCGTTTCCTCTCGGAGTTGCCGCTGGACTGTGTGGTGGGGATGGGCCAGCCGACTTGAACTCTAAACGCAACGGACGATCCTTCAAATAGCTCTTGCAGTCCTCTGGACTCAAGCCTTCCAAGCTGACCAAATCAGTTTTGCCAACGCGAAGAAGCACATCCCCTTCGTTCACTCCTTGCTGTGCCATAAATTCTCCGTCTGCAACAGACTTGACACGAAGCTGGCCTGGTGGCATTCCATGAAAGGCCACGCCCATCTTGTTCACTGTCTCGTCAGCAACAACCTCGTACAGTTCACCCTCTAGCAGGTCACTCTCTTTTTCTTCTGCCACGTGATCATTCTCCCTTCTTGGAGTTGCCGCTTGACTGTGTGCTGGGGTTGGTGCAGCCGATGTGAACTCCAAACGCAACGGACGATCCTT